CGCCACAGTGTGCTCACAGCTTCAGTCTAGGAGAGCCGCACACAGACAATTAGACACGACGAATCGCGGGAGGTTTCGATTGTGTGCAGTTTTGCTCCCGTCTACCCGGGGATCTTTGCAGCTGTTTACCAGCAGAACACCGCAACATGGTAAAGGATCATCACAATGGCGTCCTCAAATAATATTTGCATGCCTCAGACATTGCATTCACCTTTAGTGGAAGAACAGCACTGCACATTCCTGTGCTCCCTTGTGTCTTTTTTTTAAAATGGTTCTTAACTCCTCTTCTGATGTTTCAGTGATTTCAGAGGGGATGTGAAAAGGGGAATTGTACAAATGAAAAGGATATTTTTGTTTTCATGTTTAGTATTTATTTTGGTAAAATGAGTATTTTGTTAAATTGTTTTGTTAAATTAAGGGAAAAAAAAGACAACTACTGTTTAACAAAGTTAAAGTAAAAATTGTCTTATTTCCCTAAAAGGGCTATTTCTATTATTAAGCAGGCACAACTTAACAAAATAAAAGAGTTCCTGTGCCTCAACACAATACCTCTCATTATTTGCTGTGTACTGGCAAAGTGAATAATTGTTATTTTCATGCACCCCATTATTGGTTGGTTGTGAGGAGTGTTGATTTGTATAAGCTTGGCTTAACCATACTAAATGGGCATATAGCCCTGCTCCCCATGACCGCCGTGCATGGGACCGGACCTTGGTCTTATTAAAAAAAAAAAAAAAAAAAAGTGGACCTACAGCATTTCTAGTTGAGGACCACTGGACTACACCCTGAACGAGTCGCCAATAAGTCGCATGGCATACGTAGGGAAAAACGACCATTCACACCCACATCGTCACAGAGTGAGACCCGAAACCACGCTGCCCGCTCCAAAGTTAAGGCGATGGCTACACCATCAGCGACTTGAACCTGTATTATTTAGAAAAGGCCATATATAACAAGAAAAGAATAATGTCGAAGGAACCTGGAAAAAACATGAATACTTTAATAAAACATGGGTCATCCAAGTTTATGTTTCCAAAGTACTGTGAGGATGAGCATGGTCCTAATTTTAATATGACTGATTCTATTAATAGCTTCAATATTTTTTGGGTGAATGTTGGTCCAGAGCTGGCTGCTAAAATGTTAGATCATATTACCTTTCAATGTGGTGGTGTTGTACATAGTAATCCCCCGTCCATGTTCTTGACGCAACTTGTGAACAAGAAATAACTTATAGAATGCATAAAAGTAAAAGAAAATGGTCAACTGACAGTTATGATATGGATGTCATTTATAAAAACTGTTATATTTAATATTTCAAAACCTATCATCTACACTTCTAACCTGTCATTCAAAACAGGCCACGTTCCTAAGAACATTTTAAAAAATTCTGTTGTACATAAATGATAATACGCATAATTTTACAAATTATAGGCCACTTTTATTGCTTCCACAGTTTAAAAAAAAAGTGTTGAAGAGCTCTTCAATTCTCATGTTGAGAAATTCCGAGTAAAGCATTGTACATTAAATGAAGCCCAGTATAGTTTCAGAGCTAAAAGGACCACATCATTGGCACTGGTTGAAACAGGTGAAGAAGTAACAAACTCATTGGACAAAAAGAAAACATGAAGTTGGAATATTTCATTTTTCCAAAAAAAGGCAGTTGATACCATAAATCACTCACTTTTACTCAATAAATTGGAGAGATAAGGGATCAGAGGGATAGTTGGGAACTGGTTAAATAGTTATTTCACAGAACAAACACTATGTAAAAATAGGTGATCTATCTAATAAACTTGGTGTTGCTTGTGGTGTCCCCCAGGAGTCAGTGCTGGGTATATAAAAATGAATTCGTCTATTTGTTGTGGGTAGTAGCTGAATCCACAAACTTCCAAAGGTACCTAGACGACGGTAGGGCTGTGAGTGTGTGTGTGAGAGAGAGGGGGAGCGATGGAGTTGTGAGTTTTGACGCATTTACAAAAGTCTATGATTACAATGGAGAAAAGTCAACAGATCAACATGCTCAGAACTAAGACTTGCCCTCCGTCTTGAGACGATGTTCCCAGTAGCAAAAAACAAACGCTCTGATGGCGTCAGTGTTGCTGGGATACCCAAAAAAGGCTTGGCCAGCTTCGCCAAGGTTGGATATCGTGTTTCGTTCGTTCTCCACCAAAGCAGTGGATTGTCCTTCTTGGAGAGAGGAAGCTCTCCAAAATACTGCAAGACTTCCTTCTGCACCGCTTGACTTAGCTGCTGAGCCTCATGCTCCTCATCACTGGCATCCGAATCTGATGATGAGCCCAGAATAGTGTTGGCAAATGACCCATCCTTTGGAGCAAAACGGCTTTCTGATGTGGCAGTGCCTTCATCTTCACTTACTTGTGACTGTCTTTCTTCCTTTTTGAAAGCTAGCGCCATGGATTGGATTGTACTTTGAACCTTGAACACATCTTCGGCGGGCAAGAACTTCAGTTTTCGAAACCTTGGGTCCAAGGCAGCAGCCAGGAGGACAGTGTTCGGAGCTTCGGGCTGAAAGAAAAACAGTTCTTGCCATCGCTCCGTAATCTGTTCTGCCACTTGAGCCTGGAATTCCTTCACTGATGCGCTTTCAAATGCTGAACTCAGTGCTGCTTTCTTGAGGTTGTGGACCAGCTGTGGAAGAGAAGAGAGAGTAACATACTGTTCGCCATGCAGAAACTCGGTCACGCTTACAAACGGCCCAAGGACCCGAGTCAGCTCCTCACTGAGGTTCCACTGTTCTGGCTTTAGATCCAGGTGATGGTGTTTGCCACTTGAATTGACTGTAGGATCAGACAGAGCTGCAGTCATGGGCCATCTTTGTCCAAGGAGCCTGGATAGCATGTGATAGGTGCCGTTCCACCTCGTACTTACGTCCCGAATCAACATTAGTGGTGGCATTCCCATTTGTTTCTGCATTTCTTGAAGCTTGGCACAGGCCAGTTCACTCTTCTTGAAGTGTTCAACCAAGCTTCTCGCAGAAGCCACACAATTAGTTATGGTTTTACTGTTTTTCAGCGTGCTCTGTACAATGAAGTTCAGAATGTGCCCGGAGCACCTCACAGAAACCCAGCCATGTCTCTCCTTTAAAATGTTTGCTGCTGCCACTACAGTAGCCCCGTTGTCATGGACAACTGCCTTCACCTTTGGGAAGGGAATATGAAATTTGTCAGTGGTCTCCTCCAGACAGTCCGCAATATTGGCAGCTGTGTGATTCTCTTTGAGAGGCACTGTTGTTAGAGAGAAGGACTTCATCTCCCAGTCTTCCCCCAGGAAGTGACATGCCACCCTGAGATAGCTCTCTGTGCCCATACTAGTCCAGATGTCTGTAGTCAATGCAACACTTTCAGTGTCCTGAAGGACCGTTTTCAGTTTCTCTGTTATTTGTTGGTGCTTTTTCTCCATTAGACTTTTGAAATGAGGTCTTGCTGGCATGCTGTACTTCGGGTTGAAAGCTGAAATCATCTTTTTAAATCCCTCGTCTTCCACCATGGACAGTGGACGCATGTCAGTGACCAGCATTTTCAAAATGCTCTCGGTTAGCAAGGCAGATTCTTCAGCGGTGCATGACGTAGCTGAGCGAAGAAAGCAATCCATTGGCCGCTGAGATGAGCTGGGGGAAAAAGTATATGAATACACATAGCACTTGTCATTTGTCACATTTGGTGCCTCAGCCAAACACATTGAAACATGAAACTGCGAATGGGTGTTTATGTGGGAAAACGCGAAGCTACCAAACAAAAAGGTTGTTTTCCACACTTGTGGTCCGAAGCCCGTCTTTTTTTAGGAAAGCAACCCATGTTTTCTTGTTGATTTCTAAAGAATTGGAAAATTCAATTTTTTTCCTGGTAAAAGAAGTGACTCTCGTCTTTTCATGTGCTGCGTGCTTTGACTGTCAAAAAAACCCTATTATGTGGGTCTTGAAATATCAGTCAAAACACTCTAAAACGACCGGCAACGTGGGGAACTCGGCTTTGAAAACGGTTTGCGGTGTAACAATAAATAAAGTTTATGAGAGAATTACCATGTTGTGGTGGTAAGCAAATTTACGGCGGAGAGAGGGTGTGTGTTTGTGAGTGCAGTGTGCACGCATGCGCGTGAAAGAATGAAAGCAGAGTGTGAAAGGAATGATTTTAGTGTTCGCTATTTAACTGTCTTGCAATTTAACTGTGTCAACACGAATTCCACAAACAAGATACAGCGAACAGCATACATTCCAACAAGCAGGCTAACGGAACGAGCTAATATCATGTTGACGTTCTGATACCTTGTTTCGGCGAGGCTTGTTGACCTGACTTTAACAGGATGCTTTCGGATCAGATGTTGTATCATCACAGATGTGCTGTTGTGAAACGCCAGTTCTGCGTTGCAGTACACGCATTGCACTTTCCGGTCTTCTTTTTTCAGTTTGAAATGATCCCACACTTTCGACATTCTCTGTCTTTTATGGGCTGTTTCTTGCTGAGACTCCGCCATTTAGCCACCTGAATGCAACACGCCGGATTAGTGTAAGCGTCGACAATTACAGTCCGTGTGGGAACATTTTCCTGGAGCAAAACGTAGCCACCTAAACACGCGAAAGGAATTAAAACGAAGCCTCGAGGTTTCTACCCATTGTTTTTTTTTTTTTTGCTACCGCATTATTGGAGTTACTAACGTCTTCCTGGTACACCTATTTACATCATCCACTTGATTATTGTTTATCTATCTATACCCAATTGTTTTTCATTCATTACTGTAATTCTCACGTTCTCTGACACATTTGCGTAACTTCACCAGTGTAGCAATGGACCGAAGACACCATCTTCGCTGCATTTCAAACGATGCAGCTGTTAGGTAATGATGATTTCATTTAGAACAATGCTGACAGCTGAATTACTCTATCCAGCCTGTAGTTGCGATGACACAGAACACGTTCGTATTTAAACACTTAATAAGTGAAGCATTTATGTCATATGTATTTTAATCAGTCTGTCATATTCTCTGGTCGTGATCTTCCCTGCTAAAAGATGTTAATTCCCCAAATCTGGTCAAAATTGCAGTTATAAAAAGTTACATTCATACATTGCAATACCTGCGCCATAAATAGTGCATTGTGCACTACAGTTCACAAGCGGGCAATGAAATAACACACTAAATTTCCATATTTTAGAGAGTAAATTCAACATAAGCACACAGACAACAAAGAAAATGATTTATTCACAAAACCATAAAACGATGGACATTTTACACAATTCAAAGACAGTCGTGTTGCTTCAGTTAAACGTGTAAAAAAAAAAAAAGGAAAAAAAGGGTCTCCACAGACAAGCGCCCTGCAGCCAATCTCATACTCTCTCCAAGGCTTCCAACATGATGATGCTGTTACCTCGAATGACCTACGACATGAAAAATGAAAAGTTACAAATTTAAGCAAGACAAGTGAGACAAACAACAAAGACCTTTGTCATCATTCTGGCACCAACTTCATTATTGTCTGTATAAACTGGTCAAACAACACGATTTTCCCTTGGCGTGTGGTGTGTTAAGAGGCATTTATGCCCCGATCCACTTGGGAAATGCTTGGGACAAAAATAACCATTAGCCTGTTTAATATTAACAATTGTACTTTTTCATGTGCGTGCGGTAGGGCTGCCAACAAACGATTTTGATAATTGACTAGTCACAGAATATTTTTGTGATTGGCAGACTCATTAAATCAAATGTACATTGCAACTCATCACACCAGCAGGCAGCTGATCTTAAATAACCATCATCAGCTTACAGTTTTAAGATAGTAGTAAACTCAACTCTCAAGAAACACTACAGCTTGTACCAGCATTCATGACGTGTGTATATGTGATAGTACAATTTAAAATGAAGGTGGTAAGCCTTTAACATTTTTACCTGTAAATGTTTAGAGGACATTCAAATGGTACCAGAAAGTACATACAGTCACAACATGGGAACTAGGAATAACCTTTCAGAAAGAATAATTTCCGGGCCTTTTTACAAAATCAAAAAACAGTATTAAAGGGGAAATCAAGTAACATTTTTTCCCCCAATATGTTCTGTGCAGCACCACTAGTCTAAACACTCCATGCTGATTAATATTGCATTGACGGAATATGAATTAAATGCCAAAATCCACTTTTTAAAAATCCATTTCAGGGGGTGGCCGTTTTGCCACTTGCTGTTGACAGAAAATTACGTCATAGTCGCTCAGGACTCTGGTAACGACCAATCACACCTCATCTATGTTCTTAGTGTGGTCGGTCATATGATTGTAAGCCATTGACAAAAAAAGTAAACGTCATGAAAGTCGGTTGATATAAGCAACTTTTGATTTATTTCCAATGCACAGTCGAACCTCGCTTTAACAGATTTCCGTTTTGTTTTTTTTTTTGACAAAAACCGGTGTGCAGTTCACTCAAAATGTCCCTTTGTAGCTTAGGTGTTAAAGTCTTGCAGTGATTCCAGAAGTGGCCACTGTTGTTTACTGCGCTGAGGCAACACAGATTATGCCACTGTTGTCACAGACAAAGTATAGATCCGGCTAACTGATGTATGTGACTATGTGGTGGCCATGTTGTCAGTGGCGATGTTCCCATCAAAGTCAATGGAAATTATGGACATTAGCTTAACATCGCAAAAGGGGCGCAGCTCAAAAGGAGCGCGTCATTATCTACTTATTCATATGGCTGCCGTTTAGTCAAGTGCTAATCATGTACACGTCTCGAACATCCCATTCTGATATTGGTAAAATATACACTTGCTTTATGCCAAGCCCTTCTTGATAACATCCAATCGTAACGGAGGTGGAAAAAAAAAAGAAGCACGTTAACCTCGCAGCTCATGAGTGGTAGGCTTGGTACTACGACACACAGTACATCTGATTTAGGAGAGCAGAATGCTCCTGCAGCTACAATCTTGTGATTGTAGCTGCAAGAGCAACCCAGATAGAACCCCTCGTCCTCTTGTGTTGTGAATTCACAATCAACCAAATTTGTCTTTATAATAAAATGAATGTAACAGCCATCTGATTACTACGAAGGAATATTGGTTAGCGCTTCATCTTTGAGCAGGCATACGACAATGACAAAGGAAAAGGAAAGCTGGATGGGTACTGACCACCATGCCGATGGTATGCTGTTGTCCTCCCGGTCCCATTTCCAGACAGTCATCCATCACCAGGTTCATAAAGGGGTCAAACCCCCGAAGGATGCCTTGCACATGTCTGCCTCCATTTAATTTAACTAAAACACATGACACACAGAGACAATCAAATGCATTGATCAAATACTTGGTGTATTTTTTACACTGTCATCATCATCATCATCATCACTAAATACGATTACAGTGTAAGGAGGGAGGGGGTGTGGTTGTTAATCCTTTTGTATAAACTCGGTCATACAGTATAGTCTGATCGTCTACAGTGCTGTGAAAAAGTATTTGCCCCCTCCAGATTTCTCTCTCTCTCTCTTTTTTTTTTTTGTATACCGATCACACACAAAGGTTTCAAATCATCAAACCAATTTTAATATTTGCCTCCTTTGGCAGCAAAAAGCTCAAGCAAACGTTTCCTGCAGTTGCAGATAATCATGCATAATGATCAGGATGAATTTTGGACTTCAACAAGACGCATGGGATGTCTGGCATGAATAGCTCTCAAGATAACACGCCACAGCATCTCAATCAGGCTGAGGTCAAGACTTTATACATAAATTTGTACAAAATTGGAGAAGATTGCAAAAGTTATCTGTAAAAGTATTGGAACCACACACACAAATCAATTAGTATTGGAACCACACACACAAATCAATTACATGCTTCAAGTTGCTCTCATGTGGAGGAAAAATGGGACAGCACACCAAAAACAAAACCTTATCCCAACTGTGAAACACAGCGGAGGTTGCATCATGGGTGAGCTTAGCTACCTCAGGGTCTGGACAGTGTGCTACCATCATTGAAAAATAGTTTCTCAGAAAAACCTGTGGCCATCAGTGCAACAGTTGAAGCTCAAAAGTGGAAGGGTGGTGTTGCAACAAAACAATAATCCAAAGCACAGAATTTTCCACTTACTTGTTGCTACCTGTCCTGGAAATGTTTACATGTTATTTTTATTTTAAAAATGAAAAAAATAAAACTTCGTGTTATCAATTTATGCAGACTCTCTTTATTCTTTTGATTTAGCTGAGGACCATATGTTATGACCACTTTATGCAGAAATGTATGAAATTCCAAAGGTACTGTAAGTCACACTGCCCGTTATTTTTTTTGTTGACAGAAAAAAAATGAGATTTTAATTTGAGGCTTCTTCACCCTGCCATGCTCTGTATTCATGTTAAATTTTATAAGTATGATTTTTTTTTGGGGGGGGGCTCAACGCAAACTAAACCAAGAAGTGTTTAACTCATTCAGTACCAGCCAATTCTAGACTCCATTTTTTTTTTTTTACCCTAAGTCTTGGAAAAATTGAAAAAAAAATAAGTATCTGGGGTTGAACGTGTGGAGTGTGAAAAGACATATAAATATGTCTTTGGGAGTGAATGAGTTAACGGCCCCAACGAACGAACACCACTGTCGGCAACAAGATCTTGCGCGAACGAACACCACTGTCGGCAACTCAGGAGACAAAATTGTTTTACAGCAAAGGCGAGTATAATAAAAAAATCAATGAGGCGGACTCACGTGAAAGTTTCTTGTCCATGAACCTAAATGAAAGAAAGGAAATTTTAGTTCAGGTACCAGAAGCAAGGGTTATGGGTGTATTACACATGCCCAGCGAAGGTATACAGTGCAAGCTAACATAGGCTAACACACATTGGCTTTATCTCGGTAGCTATATTTGAAATGGCGCTCTGGCGTCGCGGTCATTTTAGACGAATACAAACTTCTATTCAAAAGACGAATGAAACACAAAACCTGCTTTGAACATAGTACTTACTTTTTAAGCTCAGGAGGGTGCGCTTTGCTCATTTTGTCTTTCTTTCCTCAACAGTCGACAAAGAATCGGTGCCTTTTCGTTTTAGACCGGCAAAACGTGCACTTGCAACCGGAAGACAATCTGTTATTTCCTCGTCTGAGTATAACCGCAGCTGGTAATACAAATCAAATTTAAACTACTGCCCCCTTTTGGATTTTATTAACCATTACACACCTACGCCACAGCCCAGGGGTGGTTAAGCGTTTGTCCTCAAGGGCCACATTTACGGGGCGTGGAAGAGATTTTGGAACTCGCGTGGCGGGAAAGCTTAGAAATAATGAATCTAAGTTTTATTTTGCCAGAGATTTACATCACCTTTCATGGCGAAAGTGGAGAAATCTGCAACGGCCTGGGGGGGAATCAATTTCCCGTCCAGTACTATCTGTGCCCATGGCCACATTAGCTTTGAACTGACGGGCCATTTGCTCATTCATAGATGGGGGAGCAGGTACTATGTAAATGTCGATTGATTTATATCAAGCACAGTAGACGACTGGTTAGCAAGTCTGCCTGACAGTGCAGAGGTGCAGGGTTTGATTCCAGCTCCGGCCTTCCTGTGTGGAGTTTGCATGTTCACCCCATGCCTGCCTGGATTTTCTCAGGGCACTCCGGTTTCCTCCCACATTCCAAAAACATGCATGGCAGGTTAACGGAACACTCTAAATTGTCCCTTGGTGTGACTGTTAGCAGGAATGGCTGTTTGTCTATGTGTGCCCTGTGATAGGCTGGCAAGCAGTTCACAGTGTACCCTGCCTACTGCCTGAAGACAGCTGGGATAAACGGATTCGAAAATGGATGTGTGGGTGTGTATATATTTGTTAACATTCAGCGGTTATTCCATTCTTAATTCTACATACATACCACATGAAGTCTGAGGTAAAACCAAGGTTTATTAGAAAACATGCAATAAAATGAAAACAGTAGCTAGAGAGGGAAAAAAAATACCCAGTCACATTCAAAACACCAAATCACACATGTGGTGGGACTGACAGTCTGCAGAGCCAGATACAAATGTACACCACTGAGTGATTTGTAAAATATACATAGAAATATTGAAAATGGTTAGATGATGGAGCCCTCCAAACAATTAAGGTGCCATTTTTCCTGGGGTTTGTACATCTTCAAATAAACCGGCCCCAAACCTATCCGAGATTTGTAGGGATACATAGACCAGTGAGCGACCAATAATGTACATTCAATATGAGAACTGAAAAATTCTTCAAAATAGCTGATCATAAATGCAATGGGTCAATATCACAATGGAAGTGCCTTTAGTGCCCCTATCAGAATCACTCATGAAAACATAAAATGTAGCTGAATACCAAATCTGTGGTGCCTTATTATATACATGGGCTAACATTTGCACACATACGAGTACAACTTTTTTTTTAAGTGTTTCCTTCATTTTGTGGCGTTTTCCCTTCATTGGATGTACCTGATTTTGCAATGCCCCCCATATTGCTGTTAACAACAGTTTAAGTGGTTTGATGCAAAATCATTTGTATGTAGTTTTTCCATAAGGTATTTGATAAAATGAGACAGTTAAATCACATCGAGGCCATTTAAAAAAAAAAATTATACTGAACATTTTGTCTCCCTGAAATTGCTGTTGAACTTGTCATCATGGGGTAATTGACCTCGATGTTCATGATAAGACGACAATTTGTCTTTCTTCAATAGAGGCTGAAACAGTGGACAGTTGCAGAATACATATGAACACTTGTTTCATAGTTTTCATCGTGTGTAATTGAATGTTGACAAGCTTCACATGTGCACGCTGTCATGCTGAACCAATTGATATGAAACCCCTTTTTAAATTCAAAATACACTGTATGTGTTACACGATATACAGTTAGCTTGATGAATCATGTTTTACATCAAGGTCCTACATGTGATTATTAAATGATAACAGTGGCCAAAAATGTTCAGCAAGGTAACATTTTGCCGTTAGCTTGCTGCATTGTTTGCTTTGGTGAATTCATAAACACGTGTGGTAGCTTGACCAATACAGATTTCTAACAGGATAACATTTACCTAAAGGGGCAGTAAAGTCAAACATTTTCTATGCAGCCTGATTAACCTTGGGTTGTAGAAATAGGAACTCAGCAGCAAAATTCACCTGTATTTATGCACCTCAGGAGGCAGCCATTGTGCCACCTCCTGTCAACTGGAACTGACATCACAATTTCTCAGGGCTCAGGTTATGACCAATGATACCATGATTGTGAACATTATATCACCAAACAGCTGAGCCATGATTGTTCGTTACCTGAGCAACTGTGATGTCATTTTCAGGCGACAGCATGTGGCAAAATGGACGCCCACTGAGATGGATTTAAATGGATGCATTTTGCTGCTTAATTAATATTTGACAAATGCAATATTAATCAGTATGGGCTATTTAGACTAGTTGGGGGGCATAGAACATATTGTAACACCATTTTTTGATTTGACTTCCCCATTAAGACAATGAATATGAAGCTCAATGCAAAAAGTTAACTTTTTAGGCGTGAAATTAGGAATTCCGAAAGGCACCTTATAGTGATGATGACTCTTAATATGTTTGCACCTGTTTAACATAGCTACCGGTAGATGTGTGTGCACTTCCCATTCGTCGTTCTACGTCCAGTTCCTCAGGCTTTGCTGGCCTAATATTTGGAGCCCTCCATGCCTCAGCCCTCCTCTTCATCCCTAGCTTGCAGGTGCTCCTGACAGTGCTCAAGGAAGGAGTCCAGTGCTGAGAAGCCCTCCTGACAGGGTACACAGTGATAGAAGCGTTGCCTCCTTGACGCCGGACGCTCGAAGGTGTCCATCTTCTCCGTGCACACGCTGCACTCTCTCCTCACCATAGATGTGTCATGGAGCTCCACGTGCTGCCTCAGCTGTGACTGCAGAGAAAAAACCTCCGTGCAGGTGGGACATGGGAACTCTCCCTCTACGTCCACATCGTCCTCTTCTTCCTCCTGTCTTGGCCTCCCTGGACCGGCCCGCACAGTCTTGCCCTGAGCAAGACTGCCTTTAACTTTATTGTATGGTCTGTGCTCTCGTAACTTGGTAGTTTTTGTGTCGGTTCCTGTGCCCTGACCTTTTTTGATTGCACTAAGACATGCAGTCGCAGTGTAGTGTGCATTCAGAGACAGATGATGGAGGAAGAGCCTGCCGCATATTTTGCATGGATAGGCAGTTTTCCGTCTGCGCTTGCCTGCTGTCGACTGAGTCTCACTCACTGATGTTCTCTTCGTACGCAATTTTATGTTGTGCTTCTCTTTCCTGTGCATGCACATCTTAGATGTATGCCTAAAAACCATGCTGCCCGAATGACCACTCATAATCAGTTTTTTGAACAGAATTAGTGAATCGTCAACATGATCAGATCCGATCTGAGGTTGGTCTTCTTGCCTCTATGCAGACGGTTGTTGAACAGAACTGTGTCAGTCTGGGGGAACAAGTCTGGCCTCTGTCTTTTTGCTGCTGATGAACAACTTCTGAGCCCTTGTGCGACTCCATCCGCACACCTGATGTGAATACAAAGTCAGACATATAATCTTGACAAAGACGTTCTCTTAGAAACTGAATTAAACAACAAACATGATTTAAGTAGCCACAGTATTAATGAGATCAGCTAAGTTGCACTGAATCTCAGTATACGGTGCTCACCAAACTTTCTAGCTTCTTCCTCTTCCACATGACATTATTTATTTCAAGTCTCAAAATCTGCAATGCAAGAAATATGAGTTCACAGGTCAAGCCATGCGCGTTTTAAAGACCGCTCGTCTGGTCACTTTGCTACCACTAGCGTGTGGCTAACGCTATCTAGGCAGATATGTTGAGAATAAACGGCATTTACTACGAAATGAAACTTACCTTAATATCCAAAACACGCGCAGTTGCACAGCTGAACAGTCCGCAAGAAAACACGGTGACTCTGTTTGATGTATGAAATAAATACGTCTTCGGCGACCGAAAACGACGCTAACGCTAGGGCAAACGTGAAATGAAAGTTTGAGGGGGCGTTACTACTGTGGACGGTTTCTGTGACGTCACTGCTTCCGAACCGACCGGCGTCTGGGCCAGGACGCTATTTTGTTTATATAATTACTGTGACTCTTTTATTGATTTACCAGTTATGAAATCACCCATACCATCAATACATAAATGCAAAATGACCACACAGGTAACATGATTGGCCGAAATTAAAATCAATCGTTTAATATAAACAAGGAACACTACAGCAAATACTGCAATAATTAAATTGGTCTTTTAAGGCTTAAGTAAAAGTCAGCTAATTCACCTGCGTGTATTGACCCAAATAAAGATTTGGCATTGATTGAAACAGAAACAGACATTCATGAACACATTTTGATTTGGTCAGCAAGTAGACAAGACAGTAACACCACATAAAGAAGAAAATAAGAAAAATAATCGTGGAATGATAACTACCTTGATGGGAGGCATGACGGGTGGGGGGGGGGTGTACCTGAATGAATAACATTCATTGGTAGGGATTAATTTTCTTAGCATTGACAAAAATAAAGCAAAACAGGAAGAAAATAAATACATAAACTGTACTAAAATTTCATTTCATTTAGCTACACAGGTATTAATGAGCGCCTCACCCAAAAAAAAAAAAAAAAAAACCATATTAGAAAATTCAAATGATTCCTGAACACGAACCAACATCTTTTACTGAATAGCTGCCATAACAGCTAGGCATCAGGTCCACAACAAAGTCGACACTAGCAACATCACCACTAAATATTTACTTGCTCAACTTTTTAGTTGAAAAAAAATTACAAATTTTAGAGATTAATGCACCAAAGGCTTGAAACTGTTAAATCAAATTAACATTTGCTGTTAGAATTATCTTCTGCAATGAAAATGTGACAAACTACCGACCAATTTACATTCATTCCCAAATCTCCTGGATTAATTTGAAAAGCGGGTACAAGAAACACCTGGCCCAAATGAAAACAAATAAGCAGCAGGACTGATGACAAAGCATTTTTGAAACACCATAAACAACAGGAGTACAGTACATTACGGCGTCACATATTCGGAGCAGCGTTACACTGCTTCCACAGAACTATTTCAAGTACAATAGGACTGTACTTTGACAAAATTGAATTGAAATACTCACAGTACTCTTCAGTACGATCAACTAAATTAGTTAAACATGTGCCCTGATCTCAAAAGCCAACAGAGCTATTGTAGAAATCCTGGCAAAAATTATGAAACCACTGCTCCTGGATGACGATCATTTGTATGTTTAATTTTGAAGACCTATCACGAATGTTTCACAAAACAATTTGTACTCAAAATGCCACACTTCAGGTTTAAAGAAAGTTGTACTCAGTCAGGATTTTTTGTTTTTAAATGGCAAGTGTGTGTGTGGGGGGGGGGTGGTTATAGAACATTTGTTTTGCGGAACATCCATGAATAGCTTTTTTTTGTACTAAATTAATGACTGATTTGCTCGTCCACCAGGACGGGTGATTCCTTAATTTGTGCAAAGGGTTGTATAGGAAGTCATGTGATCTAATACAGTAGGAAACTGTCAGTATATGCATGGATGTACTGCTGTTCCCACAGAGACGTTTGGCAAATATTTACTGAGGGACCAAAACAATGTAAACATGACCAATGATATCTCTGTGGCTTGAAACTAAAAAATTCTAGGATCTGACATTCCAGTATAATACTGTCGGCCTATATGAGTTTGGGAACCACATGTTGTAGTTTAACGACCACAACTGAAATATCAAAATTGACAATTTGAAACCAATGTGGTAATCAATCATAAAGTAAGACCAACTAAAACATAAGTGCTAAAGCTACATTAGCCCGATGGTCTCCATTCCATTTTCCTTCAGGCAGTTGGAGGTCCTAACAATCACAAGTTAACCACATACATACATATACATATATGTGTATACATGTGTGTGTGTATATATATATATATATATAATAAATTAGTCCGCTTCTCTTAGCTTGTATATGTGTAAATGCAATTACACAAAGTACAAAATTCCAAAATTTACCCATCTTGAGATTCCTCTTTCTTTAATTAGCTGATTGTGCATTGCGGATAATTGTAACCCTCCATTCATCAATTTTCTATGCTGCTTATAAAACTTATCTCAAAGAAAAGTTTGGAGTGAGAGGGGTTTTATGCTATTTTAAAACTCTTTACAGTGTTTAACTACTCCGATGTATTAGACTTCATGATCCTAATCTTCTAGCTCACAGCTAATATTTAGTACTTATTAAAACAATAACTTAAAAAAAGTCTGTAAAAATATAATTCGTATACCATCTTAAAAGGATGACACTAAATACATTCACCATCCTTTAAAATTAAAATGTTCTGAAAACATAAACAGGAGAAACAATTAAGAGCTCCATGAATGGAGTAAGATGACAGGTGTGTGTGCTTCTATACTGTAACAGTCCAGTGTTAAATTGCAAAGGAGAATGGCAACATCATTTCGTATTCATCATCGAGTCCAGTGTGACCTTCACCATGAGGAGTCAGTTTCTCAGGACTGTTTTTGTGGGCTGATCAGAACACTCACAGACAAGCACTGTGTGCGCTGTACAGAGGAAGCCTATCTCTTGTAGTGGCTGGGCGCATCTGCAAACATGTACTTCAGTCTGTACGCTTCAGCCAGAAGAAGGCCAACTTCTTCGTTACCCCAGTGGATTGTGGGAAGGTTCTGCAATAGTATAAGTAGGCCCTGAAGAGCAAAAGAACATCAATGACCCAGAACGAATATCTTTATTAACTGACAATGTTTTATAATTGCTCAGAATTATGAACCCGTGAGGTGGCCCAAGGGCAGGGCTGTGCACAGAATATTCAAAATCCAATAAAGAATTCAAGTGCTTTAATAACATGGAAGCAAAAACTTGTGACATAATCGGTACGAGTCTCATTCGTTAACTTTTTTTTACACTGCAAAAACTGGAATTTTAACAGGGTTGCGAGTCCTATACAATGCTGACTTGGCCAATGAAAACCCAAAGTGTTCTATTTATGTATTTATTTTTATAAATCGTCTCACAGGGAAAAAGGTTGTAGTCTTGTGAATCAGTTTCAATCTGCAAACGTTTAAAAAATATAATTTCTGTATTTCATCCTACTGGAGCTAGCATTTTAAAAGCCCTAAAAATGATCTTTTTAAAACTGCGTCCCAAAATGGTTAATCTCAAAATGCTGCCTTCACGTTTCTGTGTGTACAACACATATGCATCCTTCCTGAAACCATGACATGGTTGTTCCAGTTCTCGCGTGACCATGCACGAACACAGCCAACAGGTAATCGTTCCGGCAGAAAAAACCTGAGCATGATGGGGCTTTCCCAACAAAATCGTCATATAAATCTAGTCCACACAAAGGCCTCCTCTCTTCCTCTCTTCATATTCACAGCCAATGTGAGTTTGTTTACATGGGACGGTTTCTCATTCTTGGTTTTTGGTGATTTCTTCTGGCTTACAGCGCCACATAGGCCTGGCATATACTATTACACTGTGTCAGGGTTTCCACGTGGACACACACACATTTCTTGAGACGATCCAGTGTTTATGAGGTTATTATTATTTTTTCAAATAAAATCCGGCTCCGTTTCTGTATGGCCAACTCCTAGGCTGACCCCGCCCCTCAAACAGTCTCATATAAACAGCTGGTCATTCAGGAAGAAGACAGAGAGCGGCATGGCCAGATCATTAGACAAATGCTCAAATTGTCCAGATGAAGAGTCAGGTTCTGCACTTTTGTGTCTGTTTTTCTGATTTATGTCTGTTCATAAATCAGAAAAAGTTAAAATAACTGGTCTTAGGGTGTCTGAAGTATTTTAAAGGACAAAAAGAATCTCACTAAAAATTGGCCATAAAGACATTCATACCTGAAAGTCAACCATGGAGAGTATTTCTTTACGCCATTCAATGAGGAAAGCGGCACAGACATACAGGTGAAAGTGGGAGAACCCTTCTGCTTCAGCCTGTGCAAATAAATAAATAAATAAATAAATAAAAACAACAACAACAACAACAACAACAACAAATGAAATGAAAACCTTTCATTTGAACTCCACATTTCAAGATTAATAATAATTGATTCTTTTTCCCCATAAGGAGATTTTTTTTAATGTAGCTTTCCTTGCTGTACTTGATAGCTATGGTGGGTGGTGGAATTTTGTCATTGGAGCGGCTTGGGGGGGGGGGGCGATAAAAACAAATAAATAAAATAACAAAATACATAAATAAAACACTAAAATATCTAAAGTAACACTCATTTAAATATCTTTTATTATTAATAATCGTCTTGAGAGATGGGGAAAGTTTCCGTCAATGGACGGAGCCACTATGATAGGCCAAAGCCGGACAGGAAATAACATGGGCTTTAAACAGAACCCCAATGAAATATTATCGGCTGTGGAATTATCACCCAAGAGTGCTCAATACCTGTACTTGTATTGCACACGTCACACTCGTAATGAGAGCCCATCGGCCATGTTCTGTGCGCTGAAACTGGAAGTATGTCATGACGCCAGAGATAAACTAATCAATTTCAAAATCTATAACTGTATTGCATTTATCCTGTTCCTCTACAAATAGATGTACATATACTTTCAAATACTTTGAGTATAATATTTCATTTTCATTATTATTTTTGCTAGACAGACTACATTCAATTATGAATGATGACGAGTATGTCACCTGGTAAGTATCCCAGAGGCGGATTGTGCAGCGCAGTGGTAGCTCCCTCATCAACAGATTGTTCATCCACCGGAAGGCAAACTGTAGATATTCCACCTCATACTTTTTGAAATGATTGTGAATGTCCTCTGAAAGCAGAAACACACGAGTTCCATTACAATGATACTTTCTTACCTTTCAACATGAATTAGCCAGTAAGTGTAGTACTGAAGTTCAAAGAAAATATTATGCAAGGTACATGCTCGACTGATGAATGCATTTATTGCGGGCCTATTTTAATACAGTGAAAGAGTGGCTGATGAAGGACCAATTTACCGTCGATCCGACTGACCAGCTCCTCCAGAGCTTTGACTTTGTTCTGGATTCCTGGCTGAGCAAAGGTGTAATTGTCCTAAAACAACAGCAAATTTCATAACCAAAGCAAATTCAAAGAAAAAGAGAAAATACAAATGTGTGGGCAGACCTGTATCCCGTCCAATAGTTTGCTCATACACCAGAAGCTGTCAGCCTCAATGTTTCTCTGAATGTCGAGAGACAGAGCAGCCACTTCAAAGTTTTCCATGTCCTCCACTAGAAGAACAAATGACACCGAATGACTCCGTACTGACCTCCCTCAGCCTCTAAATTATGACATTGACTGAATAAAGTCATCATGAGAAATGTATTCGAATGTGGTACCATTTTAATAATAATAAAATGCATTTTAGTTATAGAGCAATTTCAAAGTTCTGCACAGATAAAAAAAATCAAGTAAAAGTACAAATTCTAGGTAGGGGGTAGTTCAGATTTTCCCCACAGGTAACTTACTGACAAACTCAGACAGGAAGACCACAAAAAAGGGTGTGACAAGATCATTGATCCCCTGGACGTAACCACTGGCCGGGTGTCGAATAGCCCAGATGAAGAGGATACGTTCAAAAACCTGAAGGAGAGACAGATGACAATATTAGCTGAAATAAATTTGTGTTAGAAGTTAGATTTTGTTCATTCATGATACATTCGAGAACATGTGAGTATAAATGGATCCATCAAACGTTTTGGATCTATTTGTGAGAAGATGCCATGAATGTGTCATGTACTGTATCACATTTTAACAAGTAGTTTAAAAAGAGTGGGTGTGATCTATCACGTTTGCTCAAAACTCTTTATATACATTGACAGGATGATCCAAAAAGTGTTCTATTTAATTACCTCTTGCACTACAGGCTGCTGGAATAATGGAATCAGAGGGTTGGTCCTTGGAATGTCAATGTGAATCTTAACGAGAGGAAACAAATATGCCACACTTCATTCATACAGTAAATATTACAGATGCACTGAAATGAAAATTCTTGGCCGAAACCGAAAACCGCAAATGAGGAACCAAAAAAAAAAAAATAAACCATAGAAAGAAGCTATAGTGTAGTACCATAAAAACCTAACATAAATAAACAAACAAATTAATAATAATAATAAAAATACTCAGGTAGATCATTTTCTGCACTCTGCCAAATTTGTCAAAAGCTATGTTTATACTGTGGGTCAATTTGGTTGTGATTTTTTTTTTCTTCATCTCAATGTGAACAATACAATTACAATTCTATCAAATTCAACCGAGGCTTCTTTTGTATGTGGATATGTTGCTGGCCACTGGCATTCTCAAGCAGTCCAGGTCAACAATACCTGTCGGTATGTGTCTTTGTAGTGCTCATCTGTTCTGGAGTGGTAATATTGCACAATGAAGCCAAAGTATTCCTCACGCTTTCTTTTCAGCACAAGTTCCCTGCGCTCCTTGTTGGCTGGCAGGTAACCCTGTTTGGCAGAAAAGAGCAGGGAGGAGAAGGGGGATGCATACCTCAAAAGAAGCTGAATTACCATTTCTACGACCACACAACAACTTGTAACGCCTCTTACAGAGAGGAGCCTCCATGTGATTGGACGGACTTCCCTCGGTATGCCTGACCAGCTGTGCTTTCGCAGCTCCTCTGAAACCAATCAGAATTTTCACAATTAGTACCATCACAGTCACTCCGATACCCACGATGAATCATTACCACATATATGGAGCTGGCGCCCTACCAAGGTCAGTGTTGGCACTAGCCAGCAGTTGCTTGAATTTGTCCAGCCGGCTCTTTTCCCGCACTGTCATGGGAGGGGCTCCTGATGCATTCTGGTCTGAAATGCGAGCCACTAGAGGGATGATGGGTCGAATCGGAAGAGACTGCTGCTTTTGCAGTGTGGAGCGAACTGTGGAAGGTCAGACATGCAAATGAACCAAGAAGATTGTTTGGATATAAAATGACAGACATTTTATGTGACTAAACATGACAAATATTAAGGACATCCCCTGACGGGCCAGGAGGGGACATACTGGCATCTGTGGTAGACTGTGGGCAGAATCGTAGCGCACCTTTGAGCCTCCGAGACTAAGCAGCCCTGTGCCCTCCAATGGGCCATCTTGGACAAAGTGATAGACTTAATAAACTTGAATACAAAAGGAAAAAAAAGGCCCAAATCCCATGGCACACAAAGTTTCATAGTGTAAAATCAAGGGTGCCCAAGTCCTCGAAAGCCCCTATCGAGCCTGTTTTACATGTTTTCCTCCTCCAACACACCAGATTCAAATGATCAGTTCACCAGCAAGCTTTGCAAAAGCCTGATAAGGATCATTTGAATCAGGTGTACTGGAGGAGGGGAAAAATGTAAAACAGGCTGGAAAGGGCAGATTTGGCCACTCCTGGTGTAAATGTAGCCTTACATGTAAGTGACGAAACGGAATTTTACTGAGCATTCAAGAGGAAATTAATAAATGTGACACATAAAGTCCCCTTTCTGTGTTTCCCACTAATAGCTAAGCAGGTTGATCACTGACTTGTACGGGGCCAAAAATTTTACATTTATCTTTTGCATTTAGTTGTAGAATAAGAATCCAGATGTAATTTTAACATCTTGCAATTATGAATTACTGTACCTGCTGGGATGCTCACTGGTTATGCATAACTAAAATAATCTCCTACCTGAGGATGTACTGAGGTGGATCTCGCTGTTCGACTTCACCACCTTGCTGTTCACAAGCTCGTGCTCGGTGTCCTCCTCTTTTGTGTGTGACATCCCACTTTGTGGGGCACCAGCCGCATCTTGCTTCTCAAAGGACAAGAAGAAGCAGATCAGCATCCAATTGCCGTAACTATAATTCCCCGATTTAATCACTGATGACTATTCCTTCATTTGTACAGGGTCAGGCAAAATGATCTGACACATTTGTAGGTTAAATGAAATGCAAATAAAATAAACAAAAATGTGTTTTTATTTTCGAAAAGTACATATAATGCCATTTTTTTTGTATATGGGGTCCGTACTTCTTCGAAGCAGATAACGTTACAGTGACTATGAACTCTGATCAATATTGTGAGATGCAAGAGACTTTTCTCAGACCAAAAATGAATATGTTATAGACCAGGGGCCCCCAACCTTTTTTGCCCCACGGACCGGTTTATGTCAGACAATATTTTCAGGGACCGGCATTTAAGGTGTGGTGGCAATAATACAACGAAATAATATGGTATGAGCTGCATGAAAACTGTGGCGTTTTCGAAATATAATAATAAACACAAGGAGCGTCTAATCTGGCCGCAACACTCCGATCGCTATGGCAATGTTTAATGCCTTCAAAATACGATACAACGCAAATTCAAAGTGCATGAAAATGACGACTCACCACAGCACCGAGCTTGATTTTCTGCAACCAGACGGTCCCATCTCGGGGTAATAGGAGACAATGACACCTCAAGTGTGTGGTTTATGTCCAGTCTACTTCGTAATTTTGTTTTCGTCGCCGTTGCTGCAGAAACCCCCCGCCTCACACAGGTAGGATGTCGGAAATAGCAACAGTGCTATTGTGGCGATCTCAGAGTATTCAGCCATAACTTTAATCCAGTTGTCTCGAACGTACTTTTAAGGCCGCCGTGATTTGCGATCTCCAGCAGTTTTATTTACTCATTTTGCTAGCTCCTGCATTTTGTTTTGAAGTAATCGGTCACGTGACGGAGAAGCGTGGCTTGACGTGTGTCAAGCGTGACACAGACGGATGTAACGGAGAATCCGGTAGTTTTTCAAAATAAAACATCGTTTGTATTCCGAAATAAACAAAACGGAATTAAGGCAAGTTCTTTCTGTGCGGCCCGGTACCAAATGCCCGGCGGACCGGTACCGGTCCGCGGACCGGCGGTTGGGGACCTCTGTTATAGACAACTTTCGTGAATGCCTTCAACAGTGTGTGGACAATAATGGATCCCATTTGACTGATTTAATTTTTAAAACATAATGAAACAGAATGGCATTATATGTACTTTTCGAAAATAAAAGCACTTTTTTGTTTCTTTACTTTATTTGCCTTTTATTTAACCTACAAATATGTCAGATCATTTTGCCTAACCCTGAATAACAAATCTTGGAAATACAATCACTAGATTCATACAACTTTTCCTTGCGCGACTTTCTACCCTACTCTGTGAAGCTCAATTGGCTGCAAAATTAATTGCAGCCCAGTTTTACAGGAAGGATGCACTAGTACATTGTGTAAAAATGGGATGCAAATTTTCATATATGCTAGCATGGAATTTTCCTTGGATCCGGTGCATATTATTTAGTTTTGACTGCACATACACACTTGTGCAGCATTTATGCGCATCTATGATAAATAAATAAGTGCCCTAGCATGACATCGGGTGTCTACCTGCTTCTGGGTGAATGTAGAGTGCACTCCCGAGGGCAGGGAGGAGCACAGGGCGGGGCCACCAAGAAAGTCATCATCCTCCTCATCGTCATCAATGTCCCAAGCATCATTTGTACTCCGAGCAAACTCATGGAAGCTTGATATCTTTTTAGACTTGAGATTGTTTAACTTCAGCTTTGTGTCTTTGGGATACCTGTATGTAAGGAAAAGACAGTTAAAAGAAATGAACTGATATTCACATTTCTCGGTGGTGTTAACAGAATGACACACCAACACAAGATACAAACAGCAGAGGTTCTCCATAAATGTTGTCAACAAAAAGTGGGAAAATATTGGCTGCAGACCAAATCGAACTGAGATATGCGCCTCAATGAAATGGATTCATGGGGACAACATGACAGCATGCAGTCCACTTGCAGTAAGCACTTACGAGCGTCGTAGACATGGGTCAAGAGGAGGATGTTGCGCTCCATAAACAGGCTGCACACTGGACAAGACCACATGTGAACTGCAGACAGGTTCACACAACTTCACAAATACTTTCTGTCTGTGTTCATGCCAAGAGTTACGAAGGAAAGCATCTCATCAGTTATTATTCAAAGAAAGTTGACAGGCACCTGACCCCATTTTTGTTTTTTTAAATGAATGATGAATTGTTTTGCAGCTAGTGGTGGCAAATTACGCACATCTTGTCCAGGCCCAAATCTGCCAAGATCCAATTTAAAACACCAGGATAACATTGAGCTAATATCAAACTTAATCCATATTCTTGTTACTCACTCATACTAAACGCTTCACTGCACATGGGTGCAAAAGGTCCTGGTCGTCTTTCGTTGAAAGGACGACAAACCTGTTAGCTTCATTTACTTAAATCAACTTAAAGTAAGCCCGGTGGCTGAGACCTGGACAGACTCATGATGTGACAATGGCAATGTCCGTGACTTGTTTTATCGGGAGAAATCCAAGAATAGGAGTAGCCGCTGAGTGTCCTTGTTCAAACACCCTGGATGTTTGGGTTTCAAGTCTTTACACCGACTTTAGTGTTAGTGTTAGCTTGAGTGTGCCTGCTGGAGTGAAGAGACAAAGGCAGCTACACCCTTTTATTTAGTGCAGATCCTCCTCTCTGTGTGCCTTGGCAGATGGATACACGTGACCGACAATTATATGTCTTATCTTTATAAACAGAACAGTCTGTATTTATGACAAACAATTAGCTGACTGGCTCTCCAGGTCAAGTGATGATGGCAGTGGTAGATGGCTACGACTAGTTAGCCAAAACTACCCAGTCAGTGCTACTTAGCGAACGCTAGTAGGCTGCCAGCCAGCAAGAGCATATGGCAGGCAAGCGGTTAGTGACAAAACCCGTAGAGATCAAAGAGACTGGACCCTGTAAAAGGATGCCAGGGGCTCTTTTCTTAAATCGATTTAGACAAACACGGGCAACACGACGACAGAAAGCGTAGAAAAACCTCAAGGGTTAATGAATTGAACTCGACAGCCAAGACAGCTCATCTGCTGCATGTCACCGCCGTACTTCCATAACCAGTTGAAAGCATGAAAGCCAACCCGTGAACGTTACATTTCAAGCGAGTGTTATACACACTGTAACAGTATGCTAGAGGCTACACTGATCGAAAAGCCCCTGCACAAGACTTACAAGACATTTGAACAAAAGGAAGCGCGAGGAGTGGGGGAAAATCCTACCTTCCTGGAACCTTTGCATTTTTCCTCCAAAAATTGATCCTGTTCTCGGTGGCCATACTCTGTGAAGACAGCCCACCCTTAGGTCGACATTGACACCGGCTCCCCGCACCAAGCAACCATGAGGAAACCACTTCTGTCAGCCATTGACGATGACTCGGTTCCCCTTTGCGCAAGCTTGGCTGGACAGTGGAAAACCTGTTCAGTTTTAAACGCGGCGGTGTGGAAAATACGAGGGTATGGAAGTCGCCATCTTGGCACACAGTAGCTTCAGCCAGGCTTGCGGTTGGTGGGCGTGGCGAACAGGTGCAGCACAGGCAGCCAATGGGGGACCGCGGGGAGGGTCCTGGATGGCGTTATAAACGCGCAGATAACCAAGAAACGTTATAGAAACTTTGTTGTTGTTGTTGAACTGCTGTGGTCCGCGTTCAGAATGCTCAACTGCCTGCGTGTTGAGTGTGTGTGTGGCTTTTACAATCAGGTAGGGATCACAAACTTTGATTTACACAAGTCGTTGCTTATTGTAGAGTGAAATAAATCCATCCACTTGAGAGAAGCTTTCCGAGCAAAATCGAATATATTGTAGCTTAGTGGAAGAGGTGAGACGCAGTGATAAAAGCCCCCCCCCCCCAAACAACGAAGGAAAAACAGAACAAATTGGTAAAAGAAATCACGAACCATGAATCAAAAACCTTTCTTCTGCATTTTGGACAATTTGTTAAGTACTTCCCATTTTTTCCACCGGCAAATGCTGCGTTTAAAAGTTCAGTCCACACGAGGGCAGACTTTCTTTGTTGTCAATGAAACCAGTTGAGCCACACGCTGTTTACTGTAAATATTATTTTAACTGCTTATTGCATTTAGATAGTTTTGAAGGCAAGGTAACCATTGCCAACCAACCAACCAAACAAACCGACCGACTTTCTTTCCAGTTTAAAGTAATCTAAAACAGAATTGACTTCATTCAATTCAAGACACAGGAACCTGCAGGTGTCTTATTCAAATGTAGGCAAATGGACATTTTTCGGTTATGACTTTCCAATCTGTGCACTGTTTGAATATTTGAATTGTAGGTACTCTCTGCTTTGTGTTTGTTTAGGAAAATCACTGCAAATCCGCACCAGTCTTCACATACTCCAATCGGTAACAAACATCAGCTGGCAAAATATAGGTGAGCAAACTGTTACTTTCTTTCTCTCTTTTTTTAATTATTGATTTGTTGTAGTTTCTCTGGGCTTGGAATAGATGCCCATTATTTTAGCGTAACATTTTTACAGGGCAGAGAATAAAGTCTTTCACTTTCTGGATGCACCATCCTATAGTGGTTTTCAAGTGACAAAGAAAAAAATTGAACTTTGGCTTAAGGAGATCTTGTGACTTTTTCCTGCTATGATAAGCTGTGAAGTGGCTATTTTACAGAAAATAAGAGAGGGCTGCGAGGAGATCCATCAATACAGCCATACTACAGAACAATGCTGAACTCTTTGCGACCAAGAGCTTGGGGCACAACTTTTGACAAAACAACATTCTGCATTGACTTTGAACTTTTTTTTTTTTTTTTTTTTTTGCTGGACTACTTTGCTGTCATAGAAGCGGTTTATTTCTATGCAGAGGCAATGATGAACATTTATTTTAAATCATTTACTTTAAATCTACTTCAGGTTTCTAGTGTACGCAGACGAGAGTGTTTAATATGTTTCTGTGGTATTAAGTGTATAATGTGTTTTTCCATGCCACATGCTCAGCGTAGTTTAGGCCCCGAGCAAGATTTAGTTTTGCTCTCCCTCTCCGCTGAATAGACAGCATTATGGCTTCTTGTCTTGAATGCTTAAATGGCTATGGCAAAACTAATCTGACAGCTTTTTTTAAAAGAAAAAAAACCCAAATCTCTTTGATGTGTGACCCATGTCATCTGGTGGTTGTGTAGTACTTCCCAAACACACTGAAGAAAAGTTGTGGAGAACTTCATAAGACCAAAAATCTAACTTTACTTTGACCTTAGCATTGATCTGAAGCTTTTTAAATGCCAAGGTGAGTTTCTGTCTTCATGGTATGCAAATATCATTATATTTAAACCGTCTTTTACAATTTTAAGATGTGCTCTAAAATGATTGGAGTGAATGGATAACTGGGATCCAACATCTAATTTGTCAAGAGTAATTCATTTTTGATTCTTCTTCAGGCACAAGGTGATGTTTGAAGTCAGTGGGTCACCAATTACTCTTCTCACACTCTTTCACTATGACCAGGCCATGGAGGATTCTGTATTCTCTGAGAAAGGTAAGAAGCTGATGCTGCAGGACGTTGGGAACTCACTTTTGTCTGAGAGTTTAGTTTTAGTTTATGACACTCTGTTCAGGCACCAGAGTAGGGGATGTGGTCAGCATGTCTGCCTCACTGAAATAAGACTCGAGATTCAGGTCACTGAGTTTGCATATTGTCGCTATGCTTTTCTCTCTACACTGGTTTCTTCCAACATTTCAAAAACATGCATGTTAGGATGGCGTAGGTTTAAGCACATATCTGAACCAGAACAGGATAAGTGGGAGAAAATAAATTGAGTAATGAATGGATGAATGATCACGTCATTGTACTGTACTGTAATATTTTCTCATACATTATGGTGAGTTGACTTGGATCAGTTTCGTTCAAATGAAGTTGCTGCACCAATTCAGTGTGCCTGTGGGATTTGTACTTCTTTCTTACTACTATGTTGGCGCTTGTGTAAGTCACTTTCACCAATGCTGTAAAAGCTTTTGGAAAATTTCTATATGCTGTTTAGCTGGGAGATTTTGGGACGCTTTCTATAAAATAATGAGTGAGATTTTTTTCAATTTACTTTTTCATAGTGTGTAATCACTCTGTTCAATTGAAAAATAAAAATATCAATATTTAATTGAATTAACATATTTTTTCAATTGACTTTTTCATAGTGTGTAATCACTGTGTTTAATTAAAAAATAAAAACTGCAATATTTAATTGAATTTACATATTTCACATTATTACATATTATATCCCACATTTTAGTTCCCTGTCATAGACAAACCTTTAAATTAATGATACTTTCCAGTTTACTTGCATCAATTCTAAATCATTCCCATGGGGAAGAAAATCTATCTTTGAACTCCTTGCTACATTTGTACAGTTAGTAATGAATAACACAACTCAGTCTGCATGATATCCACACCACTGGGACTCAAGCCACACTACCAATGAAAAATAATGGAAACGTGGCATCTCAGAGGGATAGGTGCATTGATTGGATGTATAATGTAAGGTCTGACTGGCACCTACACCTGAACAGCTGTGATTTCTCTCTGATTAGACTTCAAATTGCAATTATTTTTTATATCAATATCAGACGTTCATGAGACAGTTTTTGCCAGGATCCCAATCGACATGCAGGGTTCACGGTTTAGTAGAAAAATCCGCGTTTGTATCTCCAGAAGGCTGAGTTGATCACGGTGTAGGGCGACAGCTGCGCCACAAATCAGAGCCCATTTACTGGTGACAGAGTCATTAAAGCCTGCTCATCTCATAAAACACAATGCACATGGTCAAATACTACTCACTCCATTCACACTCATAACTCAGCCTACTGGGCACACACTCACAGATCCCATTATCACCACACACAATCCCCCACAAAGTTAAACCGAGCGTGCAAACTAGTATGGGCATACGGATAATAATAATAGTACTGTAATGTCACCGAGGTAAAGAGGTATATTCGGTGCACAACAGCAGTGGTATAGTGTCCCGCTGTGTGTCATTATTGCTTTGAAATGCATCTAAACAAAACACATAGTTTAGATATGCAATATACAGTACTGTCTATGTATGCATGCCCATACAGGGTGTCCCACTATTTTTCATACACAGGAAGAAAACAAATTTATTTATATGATATGCTCTACTTGACTCCCATTGTTTTGAAACGTATTTCAAAGTGTGTTTTCCATTGCTGAAAAAACACCTATTAGAACAGCTGGAGTTCTGCTTGTAATGATGTTGGTGATGGGCTACGTGAGATGATTTATGTTTTGTATCTTTTCCTGTTACACCTTGGCCTTCAAATGCCCACCAAAATATAAAACAAGTGGGATGATATCTGCGGCTCTGGGAAACCACTCCAGACGACCACACCAACCAATCCAGGCAGTTTAAAGTTGCTCATTAAGCAATAATATTGATGCATGAATACGTCAGTGGGATGGAACTCTGTCTTGTTGAAAGTAAACTGGGAAATTGACATCCTTGTATTGCATGACTGGAATATTCCCTTCCTGCAATTTAAGATACTTCTCGGCATTAGGATTTGCACCAATTCTGAGAATCTGCAATTGCCAACCTGAGAATAAACAGGGGTCATTGTAGTTTGACATTGTAATATCACCAATCACCAGTAGATGGCATACATGTCTAATAGTTGCGCTTGCACTATACCTGTACTGAAATAAATGTGAGAAGGCCAAATACTTTTTTGTGGATCCACAATGATATGCGGAACGAACAGAGTAACGTATCTCAATTACATCGAATTTTTGTGTGAGTTTATTTTTGTGAAAAAAAATGCACCAAATGATTTCTTGCACTTAATGTTGGTTTCTTGTTCAGCCATTTTTTGCCATCCTTGTATGATATTTTTTATGCAATAAACTGCTTTGCACTGGAAACAAAATATTTAGTTATTTTGTTGTTTGCTTCAAACATTTGTTGTTGCGTTAGGATAGTGGCTCTCTTATACAAGCATCAAAAATGGATTATCAAAAATTAAGTCTATTCAAAGCACAGATTTTGTCCACATGTAAAATAGCATTCTTGTCATTCATATGGTTTGGAAGTGCGTGGTGCTTTGTGCACCGCCCCCCCCCCCCACTTCAGTAGCACTGATGAACAATTTTGGCCCCCTCCATCATTTAAGTTGCCCATCCCTCACCGAGCTATCTAGCAATGTGGCTGTCTGAAGAATGTGGCTGCAGTCCTACACGTAATCAACAGATGTCACTGTTACGAAGAAATCAGTCAGTAAGATTTTTTTTTTCGCCACTAAACTATTATATTGTGTTGCACTATACATTCAAATGGTTGCGTTAATGTGTGTGCTTTTCTGTTCAGGCAGCTGCAGACTTTTACTTTGAAAAAATGGTAGGAGAGGTTGGTGGTATCAGTAAAATGTAATCGCTGTGCCATATCTACACAACATGTTTGCTGAACTGATTTCCAGCCTGCACACGATTAAGTTTCAAATGATTTCCCATTACCTGCTCTCGGTCGTCATCGACTCTTCTCTGC